AGCGGGGGTCCTCACTAAATTGCGAGGAAGTCTCAGGCGGGAGCGCCGTTCCTGAGTCAATTGCGCGGAAATGTCAAGCAGGAGCGGGGGTCCTGAGTAAAATTCGAAGAAGTCTCAGGCGGGAGCGCCGTTCCCACGTAAATTGCACGGAAGTCTCAGGCGGGAGCGGGGGTCTTGATTACATTGCGAGGAAGTCTCAGACGGGAGCGCCTTTCCTGAGTAAATTGCGCGGAAGTCTCAGGCGGGAGCGGGGGTCCTGAGTAAAAATCGAGGAAGTCTCAGGCGGGAGCCGTTGTTGTTGTAGCCCGGGGGGCAGGGACACAGTTTGAGCAGGAAGACTTTCCTTAAGAAAAAACAAGGTGCGAGCCCCGGGGGTGGCACTTCAATCGAAAAAATCAATGTGCACCGGTGGGGGGGATCAACAATAATTATTCTTCAAGAATGAAAGTTCAACATCCATACAAAAAACAAAACACAATCATCAACTTAAGGCTGCTCGCACTCATCCGTTAACGCGCCATTCAACACGTGTATCCCAAACCCTCGATACCCGACCTCTTCGTCGTCAATCGTGTCCCCTCAGGGATCCATCTTTCCTACCTGCAACGTGTATTTCGCGCAGCCCCTCAGGCAGGGGAAGAGAGGACAGATGGAAGGACGGGACAAGCGGGAGGAAGGATGGAGCACGAGAGAGAGAGAGAAAACAAGAGAGAGTAAAAGGGCGGGCTAGGAGCAGAGAGCACGTGGCAGAACCAGACGAGCAGAACGCAACCACCCCTCGCGGCTCCCGCTCCGCTCGAGACATCCCCCGAATCTGCGAGTCTGAGTGCGAGTGCGTCGCAAGTCAGTGAGGCTGATTGTGAGAAAGTCTGGGGATGAGTGACTCTGGGTGTGAGTGTGTCTGGGCGAGTCTGAATGCGAGAGAGTCTGAGAGCGAGTGCGCCTGAGTTTGTCTGCAAACTGCCCGCGCGCCTGGGGACAATGCCCCCGGACGAACAACTAGGCTGCCGCAGCTGCCCGCGCCGCGCACCCGCACCACCAGGAAGGCCCCCGCACGGGCTCGCCTTGCACGGCGGCCGACCTCGTCCAGCTGCTGACGGGGGGCGCCGCCATCCCTCGGGCGTCCATTCCCCGCGCATGGTTCGGTGCCGTGCGGCTCGGAGCTCGATGAGGATGCTCCTCGATGGCCCTCGCCGAGACAATGCGCACGTCCGAGCGACGCCAAGGGGCGCCGACTGCGGTGTCGCACTCCACCCGCTCTGCCAGCACCACTGTGCAGGTGTTGCTAGAAGTACCCCTTGCACAATATTCTCGGAGTGACCCAAACGGCCTCGAGGGCACTCCTCACGAGGCCCAGTGGGCCCCAGGGGCTCCAAAATGAAGCGAAAAGCTGGGGGCACCTTGGGCCAGGGGCACTTCTAGCAACACCCGAACTGTGACGACGCCCATCGCGCCCGTGTGGCTGGCCTCCGCGCCGCTGTGGAGCTCCCACTCAGCGTCGGGGAGGGCGTCGGGCGCCTCCGCGCACACCTGGGCGGCGGCCCTGCCACACCATGGTGCGCGCAGGTGCCCCTCTGGGCAAGACGCGGGCGCCCGCTGGCGTACTGCGGGCCCTGGCCACCGCGAAGGCCCACCTCTCGGAGCAGCGCTTGGCTGGCGTCCAGCAGGCCGGACAGCGGCTCGCGGCACCGCGGGAGCACCTGAGCCGCACCCGCGCCGATGCCTACGTCGCCCGCCTGCCGCCACGGCCATCGCCGCCGCTGGCATCGTGTCGTCGTCGGCGGTCGCGACGTGCGGGGCGGGCACGACCTCTGCTCTGCCATCACCGCCGCCTTCATTGACCGCCTCGAAATCGCTGCCGCTGCCGTCGTCGCTGCTGTTGAGCACCGCAGACTCCGCCGCGCGGTCGCGGCGGCCGTCGCGGCGGCGAGGCAGCTGCGCCGCGGCAAGGCTCCTCGGCAGCCGCCAGCCGCCCTCCGACACCCGTCAAGCTGGACGGCCGCGACCTCGACCACAAGGCCTCTCTGTTCCGCATCGAAGTTCCCTTTTTTTTGCGCCCGGACAAAACACCTGGGCGACACCACCCGAAGGGCGGTGCCCAAGGTGCCTGCATGAATTCACAGGCCGTCGGATCTCGCAACAGGAACGGCGGCACAGACCCGCCCCAGGCGTCACATCTGCGCCGCCGCTGCGAGGTGCCTCGAGATGCCACCTCGAGATGCACCGACGCCCCAACACCGCACGCACGCACCCCTGCTGCACCGCACGCGCGGGGGGAGGACGGCAGGGGGAGGGGGAGGGGGAGGGTAAGGGGGAGGAGGAGGGGGAGGAGGGGGAGGAGGAGGAGGAGGAGGAGGAGGAGAGGAGGAGGAGGAGGAGGAGGAGAAGGAGGAGGAGGAGGAGGAGGAGGAGGAGGAGGAGGAGGAGAGGGAGGAGGAGGAGGAGGCGAGGAGGAGGAGGAGGCGGAGGAGGAGGAGGGGAGGAGGAGAGGGAGGAGGAGGAGGAGGCGGAGGAGGAGGAGGAGGAGGAGGAGGAGGTCCGCGCGCCAGCGCCGCACGCACCCCTGCTGCACGCACCGGGGAGGCACGGGCGGCGGGGCCCCACGCCCCGGAGCCCCTCCCAGCGCCACCTGCTCCTCGGGCCGCGGGGCCCCCGCGGCCAGGTCCTCCCTACGGCACAGGAAAGAGAACCATGCACATGCACCGATTCTGGCGCCAGGCCCATCCTGAGCCCAGGATCGGTGCACACGCCCCCCCACCTTGGCCAGGAAGGTGTACTTTTGCGCCGATCCTGGGTCCAGGATGGACGCCGTCAAGATATCTGTGCGTGTGCACAGGCCCCTTCGCCCGAGACGGGGCGCCCGCCCCCGCAGGTTCGGGAGCTCCGCCGAGGCTCCCCGCGTGGCCGCGGGCGTTGACTCACGCGGGCGGCGCCCGCTGATGCACCACCGCGCCCAGCACGGGCCAGCAGTGCCGCCCCACGGCAGAATCCGTGGCAGCCCGCGGGCAGCCCGACGCGCCCGCCGTCGACCCGGCGTGGGATACAGTGCGGACGCGGCCGCAAGAACCCCTCGCGAGAGCCCCCCCCCTGAAACCCCGCGCGCGAGATGCTCACGGGGGGAAGCCTGGAGCATCCTGAACGCAGCAGCTGCTCCAACGGCCGCGGGAAGTCATCGCGCAGCGCGCGCAGCGAAGAAACCCAGGATACCCTGACGAAAAGCAGATGGTTTCTTGATGCGTGCCCCCACTGTATGGGACGGCCTTTTCTCCGCACCTCCCGCGCAAGACCCTCGAGCCCAGGCGGCGGGGCTTGAGCCACATTTGCTACGGCGTGAGAGTGATCATCGGTACTGCGGAGTCTGAGTGCGAGTGCGTCCCGAGTATCAGTGAGTCTGGGCGAGGAAGATGAGAAGCGGGGCGAGAGGGAGGTGAGGTGTAAGTCGGGGGCGTCTGACAAGTGACAACAATCCCATCCCAGGATGTTGAGGATCTATGGGCGAATTCAGGCTGCGAGGCAATCCTGTCACAAACTTGACGGAACAAGAACGGGACGCGCCCATTTTGTCCATTGGGCTCGTTTGGGGAAAACGAAGAGAAGGATGATGACGGCGACAAGGCAGCGGATGACGAGTATGACAGCATAGATGACGGGGAGATCAGCGATGGGAGCAATACACAACGAGTAGGAAAACAAGCGCACGGTCAAGGAAGAGGTGGAGGAGGACGAGCATGAGGAGGAACGAAGTGGAGGAGGAGGACGACGACGAAGGAGGACGGTGAGGAGCTCCAGGAACATAACGTCAAAGAGGAGGAACCCTCGCGACCTTCTGAAGGCTACCCTGAAGGAGGACAACGGCGATGCCGACGGCGGCGGCGGCACAGACGACGACGGCGACGGCGGCCTCGAGAACGATGGCGGCGCGGGTTGAGAAGGCCAGGCTACTGTTAAGTCGGGCATGTCCTCCTGCAGGCGCGTTTGGGGTGAAGAATTAAACATATTCAAAACAATAATCCAAACATGCGCTCCGAGTCACCGAACGGGCGGTCCAAGACGCCCAAGATGGCCTTCATACGGCCCTCGAGGCCGCCGAGAAGCCCCAAGAGAGCCTCAAGAGGCTCTCCAAGAGGGCTCCAACAATCAAAAATCGTCCCATTCCCCGGGGAAAACGTACATGTTTCGCATATGCGACGCCTGGGGTTCACAGCGTCCAGTGCCCAAGAGGCGCCCAAGATCGCCCCAAGACGGCCCAACAAGCAACCAAGATAAGCCCAAGAGGGCCCAAGAGGGCTCCAAGACAGTCCCAATGACCTCCAAGATGGAAGACGCACCCGAACGGACATTTCGAGCTTTTGCCCCGGAGAGGTCCCCAGGAGGCTCCAAGAGGCCGCCAACACGCTTTCAAGAGGCCCACGGAGGCCCCCCAAAGATCCTCAAGAGGCCCCAAGAGCCCCCCCAGAGGCTCCCAAGAAGCTTCGAAGAGGCTCCCAAGAGGCCCTCCTTGGGGCCCTCTTGGGAGCCTTTTGTGGCCTTCTTGCGCCTCTCCTGGGAAGCTCTGAGACTCTGTGGGGCCCTCCTTGGGCCGTCTTGGGGCTATCTTGGGCTGTCCTGAGGCGCCCTGAAGCCGTTTTGAAGCCCTCTTGAGCGCCTCTGGAAACGTTTTTGGAGCCGCCGCTCCCCGCAGCTCCGCAGTGCCGACGACCTATCGGCCAGGCCACCGCGGCGCGCAACATGGGCCGGCGGAATGAGCGGTCCCCTGGCGGTTTTTGGACTATTTTGAATCTTCCTCGCGTAGAGTCGGGTGTTGCTAGAAGTGCCCCTGGCCCAAGGTGCCCCCAGCTTTTCGCTCCATTTTGGAGCCCCTGGGGTCCCCTGGGCCTCGTGAGGGGTGACCTGGAGGCCGCCTGGGCCACCCCGAGAATCCTGGGGGTACCTTGGGCCAGGGGTACTTCTAGCAACACCCGATAGAGGAACAAGCCCGACGTCAGGCTACCAGCGCGCGCCTGCGCCGTCTGCTCGAAGAGCGGCGCGCGCTCCGAGGGCTCCTCCCCGCACACCGCGCGCTCGCCCGCTGGCCGGCCCGCCGGCGCGGGCGACCGCGGCGGAGGGGCCGGCGGCGACGACGACGACGACGACGACGACGACGAAAACGACGACGACGACGACGACGACGACGAGGGCGTCGTCGTGGTACTGAAGGCCTCGGGTCAGGAGAGACCAAAAAAACACTACGACCAGCTATGGGGGCGGCCGCCCCCGCCCCTCGAGGTGGTGGCACCTGCTTCTGGGAACTCCCTGGAGGCATTCCCGGAACGAGGTGCTGCCAGCGCGTGGGGGTGGGACAGCCCCCCCCCTTGCCGGCGGTAGTGGTACCATTTAACTCTGGTGATCAGGAGTCTGACAGGCTTGCTCGAAAAGGCAGCGGGGGGGAGGGGGGGAGGGGTTGGTCATTTGGTTGGTTGGCGTGCTCCCATTGAGCTGGCGGCGAAAGCGTCGGACGCCGCTTCCTTTTGGGCCACGACCCGGAGAGGGTTCGGAAGCGACCTTGATGCGACGGCTCTGGGAGCCAGACCGCCAGCGAGGGGAGACGGGGAGAGATTTGAGGAGGCTGTGCTCTTTCGGGGGCCTGTTCAAATTCTCGAGGCGGTGCTGGACTCCTCCCAGGCACGCGACGCGAACCGAGGCAGCGCCGAAAGCAGCACCAGGCGTCCCCAGCAGTGATCCAGAAACTCCGCTCAAACCTCCGAAACAGACCCCACCTCGAGCAAACACCTGCGCCCCCCGGCCCCGGCCAGAGAGAAGCACACGGGGCGACTCAGAGACTCCCCGCGGTGGGAGGGAGCCCAGGCGAGGGGCACCCGCCTGGGGCTCGTCCGATCCCCGCTGCACTGCCTGGCCGACGCACTCCGCAAGAACTGAGTGGGGGGGCAGGGAGGGAAGGGTACATAGCAAGGGGGGCGACATAGCATGCAAGTGAACCAACTTGGACTGCCTGGAGGTCTGGGCCCCTTCCCTGGAACTGGCGTTCCACCCTGACTCGTTCTGGAGGTGCTTGAGGGCCTCCGCAGAACGCCAACTGCCAAACGCCTTCCGTCGAGACTTCTCATCCATCCCTCGGGGCTGAGGACTTTCATGGAACGAGCTCCCGACACGCCTTGCCACCCCGGCAACCCGCGGCTGCCAGGCCCCAAGGGTCGCGGTGCTCTTTGGGTATCCAGCCTCGCGTCTTCGACGAGCAACAGCTCCACACCGCCTTGCCGCCAGGCCCCCAGGGGGCCCAGTGCTCCCTGGGGATCCCGCATCGTATTCTGGGGCGGGGATCGCTGGAGGCAAAAGAACTGCTCCACAGCGCGAGGAGATCGAATGGCGGCGCAGCCTGCATCGGCGCGGGTGCTGCTAAGGAGATTCCTGAGGATGCTATCCGGCGGGCCATCTCACTGGCGTAACTAACCTAGCTTACGGGTGGGCCGCAGGTGCCCAGAGAGGCTTCGGGGGTGAAGGCTCCAGGCTGAGTAGGCACCCCCCTCTTGGGAGAGCGATCTGACCCCCTTGAGCTACTCGGGGCACCTGTAGCCCACTTCTAAGCTATACTAGGCCAGACTTGAAGAAAAACACGCACACACACAAACTTAAACTTTTGGTGCTCCGCGCGGATATCTTGGATTCGCGCTGGACCCGCCTCCCTGGCGCGCGGAACGCGCCAGGGGCGGCGCTGGAGGCACCGTCGGGGGGCTCAGGCGCGGATCCAAGAAATCCGCGCGGAGCGCCAAAAGTTTATGTTTATGTTTTCTTCTTCGATAGACACAGCCCCTATCCTCGCAGCAACCCCCGCGCCGATCCAACCGGCGGACCCTGGGCGGACGGTGACGGTGACGCGCGGTGGCGGCGGCGGCGGCCAGGCCCTAAGCTCCCCGGGCGGTCGTGGCGCGCACACTCAAAATTGAGCACAAGGATGCCGGATGCATGACGGGGTCCGTGGGGGCACAAACAACTCGGTACGCCTTCCAGGATGCACGGTACTTGTCAACATGACCTGAGCTATCATATGCTCCTCCAGTTTCCATGCTTTCCCAGACTCCCATGGACATCAGCGCCTACAGTCAAAACTGATAGTAAGGATGCGTGATACGGAGCCAAGGCCAAGGCCAAGACTTTTCGAGAGGGGCTGGCAATCGAGAGTGACTAGGGATAGACTGGAGAAGCACGGATGCAAGGGTACGTTTCTTACTGTCGGCTTCGACTGTTATTTTCCCTCCTGGATGCAGCAGTCGACTGGGGGATCGACTACAGAACTGAGTCACCCCGAAATTGATTCCCACGTCGACTCTCCAACAGAAGTACGCCAACCATTCGCGCAGAGCTGCGAGAGTTCTACGAATGGCCCGTGGGTTGATTCGACAAGGAAGATCAGTTCTGGGGCGAACCGATTCTGCAGTCGACCCCCTACTCGAAGTAGGTAACGCTGGGCGGGGACCGCCAGTGACGGGCCGCCACGGCACGGCCGGGCCGCGCGGGCAGGCACGGGGCGGGGCGGGCAGGGATGCAGGGGCGGTCGTGACGAGGCACGGGATGCCTGCTGCCACGAGACGTGCAGGAACGTAGTGATCCTATGTGTGAAGGGGCCCTGGAACACACAAATAAATACACACACATAAGAATATTCACCATATTGTCTTGTATGTCCTGGGTTTTTGTGTTCCCCCACCACTTCCCATATTTTCCCATATTTCTGGGGGTTCGACGATTAATTGTGTCTGTGCGTTTTTTTCCCTCCTGAATGTGTCCTCCTTGGAGGCGCGCGTCCAATACGAACATGTAGTATACCCATCTTGTATTATATCGTTTCCCGAGCGGTGCGGCCAGGAAAGCGCCCGCCACGACGCATAGACTATAACATTTCTCGGTGCGCGCGTCGCCCCTGAGGGGGCGACGCACATATACTAGAAGTATTTTGGGGTGACGCCGATCCGCGGCGCGCACAAGGGGCCAGGCGGAGGGGGGAAGGCTTCTTAGAAGGAGGCTGCTTCTCGGAAGCGCGGGCCTTCGGTCCGGCGCTGATCCGAGAAATCCTCGCGGACCTCTGAGGGTTCATGCTTACGCAGTGTTCTCTCCTGCGGGCGAGAGGACACAGGACTCTCCCGAGGGCCACCTTGCCACAGATCTGTAGAGGGAACGGGTCGCGAAGCTCGGGTCGGGCGAAAGGGGGGGATAGCAGAGGGGGGTTTGAGAATCAGCTCACGTTGCTGATTTTCCCGGCGCCTCCCGGCGCCGGAGGCGGCCATGTATTTGGGAATGGGCCCCTCGGTGGGGCCGAAACCAGCTGCATGCAGCAAATTTCGTAACCCCCCCTTTCCCAATCCCCCCCTTTCGTCCGGCCCGACTCTTCTGCGGGCGAGAGGACACAAGACCCTTCCGAGGGCCACCTTGCCACAGGTCTGTAGAGGGCATGGGTCGCGAAACACAGGACACATGCGCACCTTTGCCTTGGCAGGGTCGACCTACTCATCAACCTTTAAGTCGGGCCTGTCCCCCTACAGAGGGATTTTTGACGAAAAACAAAAATACACGAGCAGGGACCGACCGTCCTGGCATTTTTATAGGCTGGCCCCGATGTTCTTAGAACAAATGAAGGTGTTGAGAACAAGAACTGTTCTTAGAGCATAAAGCCGATGTGACAAAACATGACGGTCTTAGCCAGAAGTGGTATATTCAGAGAGAGGGGGCCGAACGGTCATTCATTGTCCCTGGCGGCGTGGCTGAAGTGGGGATCCGTGGTGAGGATTATGTTTGTTGCGTTATTGTTGTTGTTGTGTTTGGTGTTGTTTATTGTCGTCGTCCCACCCGCGACCCACCCGCGACCCACCCCGCGACCCGCCCCGCGACCCACCCCACGACCCACCCCGCGACCCACCCGCGACCCACCTGCGACGCAACCCGCGACCCACCCGCGACCCACCCCGCGATCCACCCGCGACCCACCCACGACCCACCCGCGACCCACCCCGCGACCCATCCGCGACCCACCCACGACCCACCCGCGACCCACCCGCGACCCACCCGCGACCCACCCAACGACCCACCCCACGACCCACCCCGCGACCCACCCGCGACCCACCCGCGACCCACCCCGCGACCTACCCGCGACCCACCCGTGATCCACCCACGACCCACTCCGCGACCACCCTCGCGACCCACCCGCGACCACCCGCGACCCACCCGCGACCACCACGACCTGCCCGCGACCCACCGCGACCGACCCACCCACCCACGACCCACCCGCGACCCACCCGCGACCCGCCCCGCGACCCCCGCGACCCACCCGCGACCCACCCGCGACCCGCCCCGCGACCCACCTTGCGACCCACCCGCGACCCGCCCCGAGACCCACCTTGCGACCCACCCGCGACCTATTTGCGACCCACCCGGGACCCACTTGCGACCCACCCGCGACCCATTTGCCACCCACCAGCGACCCACCCCCGACCTACTCAGGTTGGTTTAACGGAAAAATCAGCGCCTGCGGCGGGCTCGTCGTACAATTTGTCAGAATTGTGCCACTGCGGTGGGCTTCTACAGAGACTCGCAAACTGCCGACACTCCCACCGCCCCCCCTCACTCTTGTCCGCGTCTGCGGGGTGCTACGCAAGACTCGCGCAAGCAGATCGAAGTTCTCAGAACGTGCCTGGGTGGGCCTATGGGCAAGCCAGGACGCCTCGCTACCGCTTGATCTCCACCTCTCGGCGGCCCTCGGCGACAGTGCGGACGGCGCCTGCGTCGTCGGCGTCTTCCTCGTCGGCGTCGTCGTCGTCGTCGTCGACGCCGTCGCCCCCGTCGAGCCGAGGGCCTCCGACGGCCTCCCAGGGCCGCGCGGCGGCACCTGGAGCTCCCAAAACGGCCGACGGGCGACGGACGGCGACGTGGAGGTCCCCAAACGGTGCGGTGACAGACCGTGCGGCGACCTCGAAATGTTCCAAAACCTCACCGTGCAGTCCGTCGGCGCACCGCTTCGGGACCCTGAGGAGGCCCCAGTCGCCCGAGGCATCCTCGGAGAATCACCCAAGTACCAGGACCGCGGGTGACTCATCACACTGGCCCTCCTCCGAATGTTTGATTTCCGAGCCGTAACGCAAGTCTCCAGCGGACGTTCGGGACGATCTGGGCACCCCTGGAGCGCTCTCGACGAGGCGCAGCTGCTGAAACGCATACCGAGGCAAGAACCCGATCCCAGATATCCTCTGATCTGATTTTTCAACGCGGAGCCCCAGAACTCCCGATCCCTTCTCTGCGGATAGTCTTTCGTCCCCGATCTGTTTTTGATGGTCTTAGGGCCCGAGAATGGGGCCCAGAGGCCGAAATTGAAGGAAAACGCGAGGGGTGAGAAAATTACATCGTCGGAGATCTGGGAATCATCACCAACTACACTTCTCTGGCAAATCAAGGAGGCCCGCCACGTCATCTTGCTGACCCTGGCGAATCGACGCTATTCGATGCCCGTCGACGCTGATCGACACTAATCGACGTTAAATCAACGCTGAGCCAAACCAAATCAACGCATTCTCATCGATTGCTTAACGCCAGGCCGCGCTACTGCACAGTGCATACGGAACTCCGAGGACACACTAGACTCCCATGACTTACTACCGAACCGCACGGGTTGGTAGAGACCTCCCAGATGGGGTCCGAGTAAATGGGGTCGGAGGATCGCGCCGCATCGCCGATGCATCGATGATGTATCGGCGATGCCCGCGTGGAGAAAACTGAACTCCACATCGAGCCGCCTCGCCGCTGCACCATGCATGAATCTGCGACGCGGCGCGATCCTCCGAACCCACCTACTCGGACCCCATCTAGCATGCCTAGCCCTGACCTTCCAGCGTGCTAGAAAAGACCCTCCAGACCTATAGACCTATCTGGACTGCTGGAAACCTCGACTGGGTTTTGCATGCCGAGGTCCTGGTGTGTTTTTTAGCCCGAGGAAGGTCTGGGAGATGTGGTCACCGCGCCAATTTTTTTTTGGGACACCCCCAAGCCATAGCCCCACCGATGAGCATGCCTGCTGAGAGCACTGCCAATGCTGGACAAATAACAGAAACGACCAACATGGCGCAAAATTGCCCCACCCAGCTGCAAAACATGGCCGTGGTGGACAGAGAGCAGTACGCAACCCCGAACGTCTGCGGTGGTGCAGGTGCCTGTCAAGGGAGATGAGGGGAGCGAGGCGAGTCTTAAGTCGGGCGTGTCCCCTACAGGGGGATTTTGGGCGGAAAAAAACTCAAAGCATGCACAGAAATGGTCAGAATTTACTACAAATATAGTCCCCAGACTATCTTTGGACTATTTTTTGACTCTTTCGAGGTATTTTTTATTCTTCGTCGAAAAACCCCCTGTAGGGGGACACGCCCGACGTAAGACGAGTCTGGCGGCTCCCTGCGCTGCGCCGGCGGGCGGCCCCGCGGCTGGCGGCCCCGCGCGGAGAAAGAGACCGCCCGCCCCGGCACTCCTCTAAGGCCTCCACATACCCCGACCTTCCAGAGAGCTATTTTTTGGCACGGGAGGCCTAAAGACCTAAACAACGAAACGCAACAGCCTAAAACCAGGACATAGAATAGCTCTGGGATAGATGTTTAAGTCGCGTGCTATCTTTTAGTCCTCCTGGAAGGTCAGGGTAATGGGCCCTGGAAACGACAAGGCCGTTTTGTTACCAATTCCGTTGGCCGTTTTTTGTTGCCGGTTCCGACGCCGTTTTGTTTTTACCGGCTCCGTCGCCGTTGTTTGACCGGTTCTGGCTCCGGCTCCAATCCTGAAGCCGCTTTTTCGCCGTTTCCGGTCGCCGTTTTTTTTGCCGTTTCCATTTTCAAGGGAGTGCAGACGACAAGAGGCTCTCAGAACATCCTTTGGTGGGCCCATAGGCGAGCTAGGACGCTTCGCCACTGCTTGACCGCGGCGTCCTCCGCGAACGACAGCGCGTCCTCCCACCGCCGCAGCGCCTCGGCGAGGCGGTCGGCCTCCGCCAGCAGCGCGCCCTCACGCGAGAGCCTCGCTGCCCCGCGCCCGCCGCCGTCGTCCGATGGGGGCGGACGACGGCCCGGCAATCGGCTACACGCAGGAGTGACCCTGGGTTGGGACGCTCAGAGACATACTAATACTATATGTTCTCCTTGGAGGCGCGCGTCCGACCCAAACATATAGTATGCCCATCTTGTAGTATATATTTTCCCGACCGGTGTGGCCAGAAAGCGCCCGCCACGACGCATATACTATAAGATTTCTCGGTGCGCACATTGCCCCTGGGGGGGCGACGCACATGTAGTACAAGTATGTAGCACCCCGCAATTGCGGGCGACGCGGGCGTCGTCGAGCCGGCGGACCTCGTGGCCCCCACCTTCCCTGTCGATGGCGCTTTCCTCCTCCTCCTCCTCCTCCTCCTCGTCCTCGTCCTCGTCCTCATCGTCATCGTCATCCTCCTCCTCCACCTCGCCCTCCTCCTCCTCTTTTTCCTCGTCCTCCCTCTCCCCACCTCGTCCTTTCATCATCGTCCTCCTATTGTCGTCCTCCCTCTCATCGGCCTCCTCCTCCCCCTCCTCCCCCTCCTCGTCCTCCTGCTTTTCTCCTCCTCTCTCTCCACATTCTCCTTACATCCTCTCTTCTTCCGCGTCCTCCCCGTCCCCTGTTTACTCGTCCTGCCTCCCCCTCTTTCCCAAGAGAACGGCAACGCAATCTTTTGTTCCACTTTATGCTCCCCGACTTCTCTGATCAAGGCAACTCGCCAGGGCAAAGTTGCTGGACGGGCTGGTATGGATGCGCGGGGTTTGAAGAGGTCCTTGCGGGCTCAGACGGCATGCGAACTTCCGCCGCCGCGCTTGTGCGGCATTGGGTTGTTCAGTGAACGTGGTTTGGGTCGCGGGTGGGTCGAGGGCTCTCCACCTCCACCTGGAAGAAATGCAAAAGCAGCCCGCCGCAGGCGCCAAAACGAATGGTTTGTACACTGAACGTGGTTTGGGTCGCGGGTGGGCCGCAGGTTCTCCACCGGGAACGAATGCAAAAGATGCCCGCTGCGCCGAACAATCTGGTTTGTACCCTGAACGTGGTTTGGGTCGCGGGTTGATCGCAAGTTGGTCACGGCGTGGGTCGCGGGCTCTCCACCTGGAAGGAATGCAAAAAAAGCCCGCCTCAGGCGCCGAAAATGGTGGTTTGTACCTTGAACGTGGTTTGGGTCGAATGTGGGTCGCGGGTGGGTCGCGGGGTGGGTCGCGGGTGGGTCGCAGGCGGGTCGCGGGGTGGGTCGCGGGGTGGGTCGCGGGTGGGTCGCGGGTGGGTCGCGGGGGGGGCCGCGGGCGGGGTCGCGGGGTGGGGTCGCGGGGGTGGGTCGGGGGGGGTCGCGGGTTGGGTCGCGGGTGGGTCGCGGGTTGGGTCGTGGGTCGCGGGGCGGGTTGCGGGTGGGACGACGACAACAAACAACAACAACAACAACAACAACAACAACAACAACAACAACAACAACAACAACAACAACAACAACAATCATTTTACCCGAACGCGTGGTGTTCTCCCCAGTGCCAGGGTTTTCATACGACACCAGGCAATACCCCCACTTCGTGGGGGGGCATTACAAGCTCTACCAAATATCCAAACGACTCTTCGCGACCACCCAAACCCAGCTTCCCGCCCTATGACGTTGGGACACTTCACTTCGTGGCGTGCGGACGACCGTGGCTACTACACTGGCGGGCAAGGGTTTTTGGAGATTTCGGCGTGCGCGCGCGAAGAAAAAACGAATGTGTCCCGCATGGTATTATTTGACAGGGATGATGGCCCTGGCAGGTGCGCAACCGTTGTCGCAGAAGTTCGAAAAAGTTGCTCGCAAAAGCCCGTTTGACAGAAATGTTTAAAAAGTGTTGGGTTTCCTACGAATCCGCAAGAGCGCGCGGGATGAGATTTTGACATTTTTTTGTTGAAAAACCATTGGTTTTTTGATGTTTTTATGTTAAAATCGCTCCGAACACTAAGCTTTTGGAAGGATTTCGTCTTGCGCGCGCGAATGTCCACTTTACCTTATTTTTTGCAAGGGATTCTTGAAATTTGATTATATTAGAACAAGAAATGTCATTTTATAGTGTTTTTTGCAAGGGAAAGCGGATTACAACAAAACAACCGGATCTTGATCACATCGTTACCTGAGGCTTCCTCACGAAAATGATGAAAATGTAGCTGCGGCCTAGGCGGCGCAGGGGGGCGTGCACCAGGGGGCCCAACAATAATTATTCTTTAGAACAACAACAACAACAACAACAACAACAACAACAACAACAACAACAACAACAACAACAACAACAACAACAACAACAACAACAATTACTAGCACGTGGGGACACTCCGTTCTCACCAGTGCCAGGGTTTTCATACGGACGCCGGGCAATACCCCCACTTTGTGGGGGGGCCGGTTCAAGCTCTACCACATTTCCAAACGACTCTTCGCCACCACCCACACCCAGCTTCCCGCCCTATGACGTTCGGACACTTCACTTCGTGGCCTGCGGACGACCGTGGCTACTACACTGGCGCATGGGTACAGTGACTTGTTGTGGTAACATTTTCTGGACGCTAGCTTAGTATACGACTTTTCCCCCTGTTCCAACACTGGACACCTGTACTGGTTTTTGGTGGTAACGTGTTCCTGACGCTAGAATAGGAAACCACGGTAAACCAGTACGACGCCGGTACTGTCTGTAGGTCCTACAATGATATGGACTGCTTTGGCTGGTGAGGCGCTAGCGTCTGATACGACGTTTTTCCGTTTCTGTACCACACAAGCGAAGACACTTATTTTGAGTGGTACCACGTGGGTGGCGCCAGCATACCACATCTTCAAAAACCCAATGGTTTTTGAAGATTTCGGCGTGCGCGCGCGAAGAAAAAACGAATGTGTCCCGCATGGTATTATTTGACAGGGATGATGGCCCTGGCAGGTGCGCAACCGTTGTTGGAGAAGTTCGAAGCACGTGAAAAAATTGCTCGCAAAAGCCCGTTTGACAGAAATGTTTAAAAAGTGTTGGGTTTCCTACAAATCCGCAAGAGCGCGCGGGATGAAATTTTGACATTTTTTTTGTTTTTTTTTTTTGTTGAAAAACCATTGGTTGTTTGATGTTTTTATGTTAAAATCGCTACGAACACTAAGGTTTTGGAAGGATTTCGTCTTGCGCGCGCGAATGTCCACTTTATCTTATTTTTTGCAAGAGATTCTTGAAGTTTGGTTATGTTAGAACAAGAAATGTCCACTTTGCCTTGTTTTTTTGCAAGGGAAAACCGCCCGTAACAAAACAACCGGATCCGGACCAACCCGTTTTGCCGGAGACTTCCTCACGAAAATGATCAAAACATGGCTGCGGCCTAGGCGCGGCGAGGGGGCCGTGCACCAGGGGCCCCAACAATAATTATTCTTTAGAAGTAATAATGTTCAACAACAACAACAACAACAACAACAACAACAACAACAACAACAATAACAACAACAACAACATCAACAACAACAATAACAACAACAACAACAACAACAATCATTTTACCCGAACGCTCAGTGTTCTCCCCAGTGCCAGGGTTTTCATGCGACGCCAGCCAATACCCCCACTTCGTGGGGGGGCAATGCAAGCTCTACCAAACATCCACACGACTCTAGGGAACCACCCACACCCAGCTTCCCGCCCTATGACGTCAGGACACTTCACTTCGTGGCGCGCGGACGATCGTGGATACTACACTGGCGTGGAGGACACACCCGCAGAGGTTGATCACTTGTTTGGGCCCCGCATGTGCCCCGCATCGTGCATTCGTTGCGCATGACATAGAGAGAGCAAGACAGAGAGAGAGAGAGAGCAAGACAGAGAGACAGAGAGAGAGAGAGAGAGCAAGACAGAGAGCCAGAGGAGAGAGAGATAGAAAGAGATTCGTCACATGTGTGAGGCAACCTGAGAAGATGTGGTACACGGTACACGTGAGATGGTACGCACTGCCAAGATAGTTGGTCACATTTTTGGGGCAATTTCCTGGGAAGGCGATTACACAAGTAGATGTGTTCATATGATAGATATGAAGCGGAGAAAAAGCGAGAGACATAGAGAAGGAGAGAGAGGAGTCGGTCACATCTTTAGGGCAACTTCCTGAGGGATGTGGGAGGACACAAGAGAGAAGGTATCGTTGTCCCGATGGTTGTCTCGATGGTTGCCCCGATGGTTGTCCTGATGGTTATGGTTGTCCCGATCGTTTTCCCGATGCTTGTCCAAATGGTTGTCCCGATGGTTGTCCCGATGGTTGTCCCGATGGCTGTCCGTCTGCGATGCAATGTTGTCTGTTTCTGCTGTTATACAGTCCCAAGGATGACGCATGCATTGCTCATACTTTCTCCTGCTTTCGCAAACAGGTCCAGTCACACTATGAATATACTTTCTCCTACATAGCGGTATCGAGAGGAGGTCGGAGACCTCCTCTCGATACCGCTTGCCGCATGCCGCCTCTAGAGCCTCCACCGTCATCAGCGTCATACGAACCACATCTGTGGAGGAAGAAGCTGCCGTGGCCTGCTGCTTGGATACGGGCTCCTCCCAGTCGACCGCGGCAGGCCGTTTGGCCACGCGGGCAGATCCGGCGGCGGCTGGCCGTTTCAATACACCGCCTGCGACCTGTGCCGCCGGGCGCTTCAATACACGCTTGGTGACGGCCTGGGCGGATGAAGCCGCCGCCTGCACTGAAGAGCTCACCGACGCATACGCATCGCACCACTGTCTCAACACTCCTCGGGACACCAAGACAGCTTTCCGTCGCATACGCAACGCGGTATGCAAGGTGTGGTACTTCAGCCCTGGATATACCGCGCGCATGTGGTCACCAAGTGCCGCGTCGAGCTTGTCAGCCGTGTCATACTGCAAAGGTCCGGAGTCAGGGTGATACTTCACGTACCATTGCCTCAAAACCATACCGCTGACAGCGACGGGAGGGTCGCTCTCCGAGAGAATCTGCGAGAGGACCTCCGCGGCGGCCTCGTC